ATTTTTTATCATATTCAGGTTGTATTTATAAGATTCAATAAGTTAAATTGACTTTTGATTCTATAATTCAATATATGTATTGCTATATAACTTTATTTTGAATCTGTATACTAAAAATATATTTACAATAGTAAACTTTATATTTATTGCTTATGTGTCTTATTAGTTAAACTTTATAATATTTATATAACATTTTCTTTTATAGCATAATATAAATGTATGCTAGTTATTATTGAGTAATTAGCTACAGTATTAGCACCATTCTATTTACTTATTATATATATATATGTACATTCATAAAATCTCTTTAAATAAAACTTTTCATCTTGTATTTCGTTAATTGTTCTGTGTTTCATAGGTTTCTATTCTTCTGATTTGTAAATTGCAGATATAACTAAATTCATTATTATTGGTTTCTATTTGGTTAAATTTTGATTAATTTATGCTATTATAGCTATAGAGCCTAACTATAATGTGAGGTCCTTGCACTGCTATTGTATTTGCAGTGCTTAATTACCAAAAATGTGGTTTTTGTGCTATCTGCAATAGTTATAAAGCCTAAATACAATATGAGGCTCTTGCATTACTATTATAGCTGCAGAGCCTAATTACAAAGTGAGGTCTGTATACTGTTATTATAGTTGCAGAGTTTAATCACCAAATATAAGATTTTTGCACTGTCTAAGGCAGCTATAGAGCCTAATTACAACATAAGGTCCTTGCATTGCTATCATATCTATGGAGTCTAATTACAATATGAGATGCTTGTACTATTATTATAGTTATAATGCTTATTACCAAACATGATGTTCTTGTACTGCCTGCAACAGCCATAAAGCCTAATCACAAATGTAAGATTCTTGCATGCTATTGCTGCTACAGAACTTAATTACAATATGGGATTCTTGTACTGCTATCATAGTTATGGTGCAAATATAAGATCTATACAGCCTGCAGTAGCCATAGAGCCTAATCACAGAACTTAATTACAATATAAAATTCTTGCATTACTATTATAGTTATGGTGCAAACATGAGATCCTTAAAGCTTGCAGCAGCCATAGAGTCTAATTACAAATATAAGGTCCTTGCATGCTATTGCAGCCATAGAACTTAATTACAACATAGATCCTTGCACTGCTATTATAGTCATGGTGCAAACATAAGATCCTTACAGCCTGTGGCAGCCATTAAGTCTAATTACAAACATAAAATCCTTGCATATTATTGCAACCACAGAACTTAATTACAATATAAGATCTTTGCACTGCTATCATAGTTGTAATACAAACATAAGATTCTTATAGCCTGTGGCAGCTATAAAGCCTAATCACAAATATAAGGTTCTTGCAACCGCAAAACTTAATTACAATGTAAGATTCTTGTACTGCTATCATAATTATTGTGTAAACATGAAATCTTTACAGCCTGCAGTAGCTATAGAGCCTAATTACAACATAGATCCTTGTATTGCTATAGCAGCTATAAAGCTTAATCACAATATGAAGTCCTTGCACTGCATAATAAAATATCAGATATAGTATACTCATCTCTAACTTCCTTTAAGCAACTCAAGTATCTAGTTACATTACTCAATTTTTAAGCTGGAGTATTTGGATCACATTGCAGTATTGTATAATTTCATAGCAATAATTTATAATTTGCAAGTATGTGAAATTACTTGTTCTCTATTTTTATTTAAAATTAAAATTTATTATTATTGGATATAAATAATATATATTTTGGGAAAATTTACATATAAAGGCTCACAAAATAAAAATAATTTTATATAAAGGCCTAAAGTGAAATAATTATATAAATATAAACAGTTGAATATATTACTTTTTAATCAGTATTGTATTTATTTATTTTCTTAGCATCTGCATATAAAAATTAGCTAATTTTTATAAGTAGTAACTTAACTTTCTTTATGAGTTTTTGCAGTTTTGCAATAAATATCTTTGATTAATGCATAGTAACCTTAGCAAAGTAATAATTAGTCTTAGTATAGAATAGTGTCATAGTGATGACCAACACCCCTTGTGTTGATAGTGCTAGGGTTAGGTACGATCACAGATTACCCGATCGTAACTGAGTAACATCCATGGCATGATTAGTGATGCATGAATTTAATGTAAAGTCTATTTGTATGTTGCATAATGCGTGTAATCAGGTAATCAAGTATCCAGATTGATAATCTGTAATAAAAACATAACGATCCCAGAGGAAAGTTACAGTCAGTAAATTAGTAACATAAATGTTAGTTTGCTTATTAGCTTAGTGAATACACATCTTAGATATACACAGTAGTATAGGTGGTAGTGCCTGGTACGATACACCAGTGCACAAAGCGAGTGCTCTGACTAAGTGAATCGAGCCCGAAACCTCTATAAGTGCGAACGCATACAATAGATAGACTTATTAGTTTAGAATCAAATAAATATTATAATGTTTATTATTATGCTTAATCTAGTCGAACTGTATCTTAGGCAAAAGAAGATTTCATTAAGCGAAAAAAAGGTATAGAATATAAAATATATAATATATAAAAATGATGATATTTAAAGAACCAATATCATTATAATGCAAAATTATTTTATAAAAATTTTCAAAATCCAGGCTTTTATATATAAATTCTCTTTTTTTTATTTCCAAATTTGACTTTTATATAGTTACAACTTTTATAATTACCAAATCCTTGTTTTTTCAAGCTAGTTTAATTATTGGGCTAGACTGGAAAAAGGTTTATTCACTGTCTAAGCTCAATATTAATTATAATATTACGGCATATGGCTTTTACAGTATTTAAATTTTATGATGCAGTTTCAGCTGTTTTCATAAATTCTGAGACAATTTAAAATTTTTGATAACTGAATAAATACAATACCAAGTCGGAATCAATAAGTTTTCAACATCAACAGACATCAGAATAGTGACTGGACTTGTATAATCTTGTAACTCATGAATTAAAACTTAGAAGAATCATTCAATTAAATTTGAGTAATTTGAGTCACATAAAGCAAATATAATTCAATTTCGTATATTATAAAAGTATATATTATTCATGAAATATAAAGCAAATATATGATATCCAATTACAAGTTACAAATGCAAGTGTATTTTTATTAAAAATTTGTGATTGCAATAAATTATATATATAGTTTATTTAAATTTTAAAGAATTATATATAACTTATAATTATGTTAGAATCACGACAGCCTACAAAATTTATAATGTAAAGTATTATAGTCAAACCTTTATAATTGCACTACCTTGAGACCATAGGGCAAAATTTTAAAAATATTCATTAAGAGAGGGTGTGTATTTATAGAGAGCATTTTTACTATGTTTCTATATATTTGGAACTATGTTAGGGTGTCTATTTAGGGAGAATTTATATATAGGTGTAATTATAGAAGGTGCAATTATGGAGGTTTGACTGTGGTTATTTTAAACTTCATATATATTAATAATTAGTGTATACTCATGGGTTAAAAATTTATAATATCATTTAAGTAATGAGTTGACAAGTTCATTAGAAGGAATTTTTTTTAGTTGTTCCAAAATTTATGAAACAGCTGTAATAGAGATTATTATAAACATAGGCATAGGTGTATATAATAATTACAATAATTATTTTCTAATTTTATTTTAGAAATGAATATAAATTCTGCATCTGAATAGTATTAACAAATCTACTAAATACAGAAATTCATAAGAATAATATTGATTAGTATATTTTATCATTATAAAAATGTGGCTCTGTAAGATTTTAGCAAAGCTACTAAAGATAGTCATTATTATAGTCAATATTGAATTAGATTTCTTTAAAATATGGAATATTAATTAAAAAAATAAAAATTGCTGTTTATTGGTTTGAAAGTTAAAAACAATAACAGTATCAATGCAATAATTTTTGTATGACCAAAAATTGTGTATGTAATTAACATATGTTATATAAATAACTTTAAACCAAGAAAATTTTTTTAATTTATTTTTTATTTGTTGCAAAATCTTATTAATCTTTTTGGATGAATTTATTCAAAATAATATAACCACAAACAAGTTACAAACCAGTTTGGCACAATATATTATATATATATATACAAAAATTGTTTAACTCAAATAGTCCCTAGTCAAGATCTTTATTTTATATTTTACTAGAAAACTATTTCTTTTTTTAACACTTAGTTTTTGCATTAGCAGAAATATAGATGAAATTATATTATATTGCATCATTCTAGACAACTCTTCTAATACTGGTTTTCTGGTTACTATTGGTTAAAAAACTTGTTTCAATAATGTTGACATTTTTATTAGCAATTTTACTATTGGATTTCTCAAGAATCTTTTTATTAAGAAAATAGAAGAACATAGTCTAGATATTTGGAAGGTTAAAGATATCACCAAAGGAAGTGAAAAATGGAAAATACTTAAATAGCAGCCCTGTACCAAAATTGATATTGAAAAAAAACTTAGAGATAAGAAGTTGAATTTACTATTCGATGATATTAAAGAAATTTTTTCTCAAAACCCTCCCAAAGGCATCCATCTAATCATACAATTGCATGATAAGTGTTATCTATTGTTTTACCTCTCAAACAAGAAATTTGCACTTATTACATTCTTTTATTTTACTAGAAGAAAGACTAGGATATTTAGACAAAGAAAACACAAACTGGTACAAAAAGAAAAAACTAACATCCTTCCAACAGTAAGGTATTTTCTTTTAATAGTAATCCCTAAAGATCAAGAAAATAATAACAACTTGTACCTTTTCTTGATAGAACTATGTTTAAAAACTTTTTCAAGCAATTACTGAAAATCGATACAAGTTAATATGTATTCACAATTTCACAATTTCCAGAAACTAAAGGGGATACAATTGTCTATAATCTAAAGTGTTATACCTATTTCTGCAACTTTATACTTGGGGATAAAGGCACTAGATATTGCATTGCTAGAAACCCAGGCTTTGGCAAAACATATTTCAGAAGGTTGATGCTAGTAGAACTTCTTAAACAAGACAAATCAGTTCTGTTAGAATGTAAAGGATTCACATTATTTATTTCTTCTAAAGGTTCATTTGAAGTAAAAAAGTCTGACTACTCAGGATTAGCATCACTACCTGATACATGGTATATAATTGATGGAAGTGAGCACTAAATAAGCTATGATTTTGGAGGAAAGTTAATTATGGTGTCATCATATAAAAAAGAAATAGTTTGAAATTTTATCAAAGCTCAGGGTGCAAAAAATTCTATATGCCAATATGGAGTGAGGATGAGATTGTTGACTGTCATAATTGGTTGTATGATGAAAAAATTACTCAAGAATCAATAAAGAAAAGGTTTGATGTATGTGGTGGAGTTGCAAGGTGGATCTTTGATACTAATATGTCACTGGAAGAAATTAAAACCATTATTCAAAGTGCAACTATAGTAATTGATCCAAGAATTATAGTTATCAAGGCCAACCCCTCTTAGATGATAAAGTTATACACAAATTAATTTATATACATACCAACCTGCCATCTGATTATGAGGAAATGACAAATCTATACATTAGTACTATCTGTTTCTTTGTATTGAAATACATGACAGATATATGTTTAGATAAATTAAAACAATAATATAGTGAGATACTTCGCATTTTTATAGAGAGTGCAAAGGACATATCAGAAATAGAAGGCCTCCATAAACAGCTATTTGAAATGATATTACATGTGATTGTTTGTAAAGGAGGGAACTTTCAAGTATGTAAACTCTTAGACAAAAGTATATCAGATGAAGAAACTCATATTTTAAACCTCTAGAAGAAAAATTTTTTGATTGTGTTGAAGAAATTAAAAAGAATGAAAAATACTACTGGCCAACTTCCAAGAATTTTGAAAGCATTGATAGTTATATACATCCCAATAAGCTACATCAGGAAAATTTTAAATAAGATGCATATTGATTACTAGCTGCAGGGTTAATTGGCATTGATTTATATTGATTATAATTGATTGCAATTATTTAAATTTAAATGATTACAATCAATTGTAATCAATATAAATTGATTGCAATCATTTAAATTTAAATAATTACAAGCAATTATAATTGGTATAAATCGATACCAATTAACCTTGCAGCTATTAATCGATATGTATCTTATTTAAAAATTTCCTAATATATTTCAAGTTACTGTTGCTAAGAAACATAGTATCAATTAAGATGAATTAAGAATTATCAAGAGAATCTTGGATGAATTTTATAAAGTTAACTTCTACTTTATATTACCAAAAGATATATTTGCAAAATTCACAAAAAAACAGCCTTATGAAAATAAGGGAGAAGGAAAAGTATTTGACACTTGGATTTCTAAAATAGATCAATATGTGTTATGCTTAGATCTTAATCAGGATTCAAGTTTTTGATTGCTCAATAAGAAGTAATCTTTGGCTGCTATATAATGATAATCGAATTATTTAAAATAAGCTATTAATGTTCTTGAATACAGTAAAAACCTCTCTAAGTGCATTCTCTATAAGTACACACCCACTTTAAATGCATATTCAAACTCTGGCTCAAATACACATTATTATATAAAACCGTCATTTAGCAAATAAATAAATTATTGATATTTGAATGCATATATTTTACAAATTCACAAGTTTGAAAACCATTTAGGTTAATTTTTCTGCTTTATTTCTACAATTCTTTAAATGAATAAAATTTTGATTTTTAGCCTTTAGAATAGCAATTTTTCGAATTTTCTCGGTTAATGAGTGTTATTAATATCAGAAAATTCATAACGTGCAAATGCGTGTTATTACGCGCCTATACGGTAGGAGTTTTCATTCGGTGTTTCTCATAAATTACTTATTTTTATTGCTATCGAAATACTATGCAAAACAATAATCCTAAATACACTGCATGTATTACGAAAGCCAATGCATTCAATTTACTCTTGTAGTTCTCATATTTGAATTCATAAACCATATAAAAATTTAAGGTAAATTGTGAATTTAATTTAGAATAAATATATGAAACAATAATGAACTTAACCAAGAATATAACTGCGACTAAAAGTAGTGGTAGTTATGATTATTTTATTGGATTACTTTATAATAAATGAATAATTAACATTATATGAAATGCCAATACTGTAATCACTAATAATTATATTTGAGTGTCGCCAAAAGAAAACCCGACAATTTAAATATAGACTAAATTTAAATTGTCGGGTTTTCTTTTGGCGACACTCATTTTATATTATGATTCTAATAAACTTTTTTTTATGTTACTATGGCTTCTGCGGGTGAGATAATGGGTTTAAATTCGCATCAATGTGATGCTATACGTACGTATCTTTTATCACCATTTTACATATACACATATTATTAGCCATGCACTTATAATTACATAGTACTATTATTTGGTCAATCTAATTCTCTCGAAAAATTTAAACCAATTTGCATAATTACAGCTGTCTGATACCTTAATGTATTCATATAATATCTTTATGCATAAACTACAGAAGAGTGTGATTCACGTATGCTTTCATTTATGGAAGTTCCAGGTGTTGCAATAGGAGTTTTATATAGTTTTTTATATATCAAAAATCCAGCAGTAAACAATATTCCAATTAAAACAATTCCACACACACCAATACCAATTCCAATATATAAATTATTATTATTTTGTTGAATAATTGTTGGCTGACTTGCAGTAGGTGTTGGTATAGCTGGAGTAGTTGTTGGAGATATATTTGGATTTACTGATGTAACCCAAGTGTAATTTCGTATGTCAAGAATATAAATATTATTAGTGTATGTATTCGCTACTGTAGTTTGACCTGAATATGTCAAGGTAATAAAATAAGGTTAATAAATTAATAACAACTAATATTAAATAAATTTAGGTACAGTATTACCAAATGCAATAATCATATAATTTTTGTATAATGCAGCAGAATGTTCTACAAGTGGTGGAGGCGCATTTGTTCCAGAAACACTTGGAATAGACCACATCCAGGTATTGGTATTTAATACTGCAGCATCTGAAAGTATATTAATAAGAAGGCCAGAAGTAATATTTACCGCTGAGCCTCCATATATAATAATATTTCCATCCTGAGCTGTAAAAAAAGATATTTAGTAAAGAATAAAACATATTTTACACTGATATTATTATATTGCTTACTTAAAACTGCAGAATGTCCAACACGAGATAAGATAGTAGAACCACCAGCAACCTAATAGGAACATATGTTAAAAATTTTGATTTAATAATTGGCAACAATAATAATAATTATTTAATTGCATTACCTGAGTAGACCAGACGTAAGATCTTGTATCAAATGTTTGAATCTGCATTTCGGTTATAAGGCATAGTTTTAGATATATTCGAAATTATAAAAAAAAGTTTATCAACTAAACTGCACCTTATGCATATTAACTAAGTTTAAACTTGAACTTGAACCTTCAAGCCCACCGATATAAAGAATAAGACCATTTGATAATAATGTAGCAGTATAAACTGCATAACTTAGAGACTGGGATTGGATTTGTGTTGACCAAGTCGTCGTATTGATATCAAGTATATTCATGTCATTATAAGCAATATCTATCGTACTATTATAATTTGTTCCTCCAAAAATAAAAATCTTTCCATAATTGTCCATAATAGCTTGGATTTCATTACGTTTTGCGAAGCTAGAATTAAAATTATTAATACTTGGTGTTGTCCATTGTGAAGTCTTAGAATTAAATTCATATACTGATGATGAATATATATAATTTGCAGTATTTGGAGTAAATGTTCTCCCACCGATTAAAAAAACAGTGTAGTTATCAATAGGACTAACACATGAACTACCAAAATTATATCCAAATAACATTTCAGCATCTTGGCGCCATGGTGGTGTAATTATATTAAATGAATTTGATAAGTCAAGATACCAGACTTCATTAGATGAAGAATAAGGTGAAGTTGATCCTCCAAAGAAGTAAAGTTTAGTACCAACTAATGTGCTAGCTTGCTCACATCTAGCATTAGGAATATTCTGACAAATAACTAAAAAATAAACTGTGCTAAATACAACAAAAAATAGAACATTATAAAACAAATTCATATTAAAATAATTAAGCTATAAAAACATGTTAAAGCTGTATTTTATCTATCGGAATCATTGTGCTTAATTCCGTATTGCGTAACATCGCAAAAGATATTGAGATCACTTGGTTAAAATAAACAAATGGTGTAACTTGAAATAGCCCGATAATTTGGAAATAAGGTTGCATTTTTTTTTTAAAGAAATGTTTTTGCGTATATTGGAATTTTGTGAATAAAATTTAAATGTTTACAGTGCTTTTCAAATTACTGTGATCAGTGATTTTCATATATCACACCGGAAATCAGAAATCTAGAAAAGCATGCCAATCTGTGATTGGTTAGAAATAATTATTAGCCAATCATGTATTGGAATTTTTTTAAAATTTCTGATTTCCGTGTGGTGCACAGAATTTACTAATCACAATGATTTAAAAAGCACTGTAATATATTTCTTATATTTTATAATAAATTATGTTGGCAAGGTTGTAGTATTAATTCTTTTTTGAAAAGATTTTAATTCTTAAAAACATTGAGTTTTAATACACAACGATATCTAATAATACACATTTCCTCTAGTTGATTTGTATTGACCTCTTAATGATGAGAATAGTGATAGACGTTAGAAAAAAAAAAGGAAAAGCACAAAATAACGGGCAATATTGTGAGGAACATGAATAAACATTGAAACATAGACACTTAAATATTTCTTTTTTTAATATAACATTTAAACGTCCTTTACCATTCACAGATAATTTTTCAAATATGAGTTCTATTTGTCCAAAAAATTTTTAAGACTTGCCAGTCGAATACGTTCATAAAATTATAAACAGCACCGAAGACAAGAAAAATGTTCTTTACAAATTTTTATTTGTTGATAAGCAGTTATATGAAATAGCTATATCTTTGTTGTGAATCCATAATAAAAAAATATCTTAACGAGTTGAACGAAGACGAACAAAAAGTACTTATACCCCAGAGGTTTGATTTTCCTCTTACGAAATCGTATTCAAGATGTGCACCATATTTGATGAAGCTCGACTTGCACAGTTTAAACATTGACTGCGTAAGATTTCTGGTGACTAACGGATATATCTGCCAATGCGGAGAATTGCGAATAGTTCATTCAATGATTCAGTCAACCGTACAGATGATAATGCGGACAAATACCAAAAATCTCAAAGAAATGATTATGTTAATTTCTAGAGACGAACCTGATTATCCAAATATATCTATTTTCTCTTCAAATAAATCAAGAATATCGAACCCACAGTCCTTCCACCTTTTGCTGGAGAATACCCCAGTAAAAGACAACGTTCGTATATTTATAGAAAATTATCGGATTTATGTAAGAATTTCCGAGAAATGACTTTCAACCTTGTCGAAAAAAATGACAGTGATAAATAAATTTCAATGCTATTAATTAAACTTATTAGAGAACAAAAACTATATAAATTTACCTTAAAATGTTATAGCACTAGTGCCCAAAGATACATCGAAGCACTAAGTTTTCAAAAAGAATTAAATATTTACAATTGAATGAAATAGACTACACAAGGATTTCGGTATATCCTTCGATGCAACCACTAGTCCTAATTTGATCAGAATTACTCGGAAAAGATGTGATCTAATTAATATAAAATATTAGTTAAAAAGGAATATTGTAAAGAGGAACAACAGCAAAACTTTTTTTAAAAAAACATAGTTAAAACCGGTACGACCATAAACAATGATTTAAACGGCATCCAATTTCCTAAGCCTGTCATTAGGAGTAACATTGATCTCTCAGCTGTTTCAAGAGTTTATTTCAATATATTCAACTTTCACTCCAGGAACATCTGCTATTGTACATGTTGAAGTCGATCAACTTCTTGCATTGCTTGAAGAGCAAAAAGCTAACATTGATAGTATATTAGATTCGCAAAATGTATACGCGGTGGGTGGCGATTTTCAGAAAGGCTATTCTAAGCCATGCATCGCTTGCTGGGTCAATGAGAACCTCGACATTGATATCAAAAAGCAGCTATTAGGCTTGTTTCATGATAAATTTGAAATTATAGAAAATATAGTGGCACATACGGATACTGATGTGAGTAATAGCAATAATGATCAAAACAGTTCACTTAACTGCAATAGTATCACCAAGGAGTTTGATAACAATATAACAGTTGGTTTTTCTGGAAATGAGAAGGAATCTGAAGAGAAGGAAGATGATAATAGCTATAAAGAAAATGGTGATGGAACTAATGAAAAAGAAAACAGTGGTGAGGATGCTTAAAATGGTAATGGATATGGTGGTGAAGATAATAAGAACAATAACGGTGGTGATAGAGGAGATGAGAATGGGAGCATAACCAAAAATATTTCAATTAGATCAACAAGTCAAGCTGTTAGTAAAAAAAATTCAGAAATTTTTCAAAATTTCTGCATAAGAGCTGTTATCTATGCAAATATTACCCCTAAGAAAGATTCAAAGGTTTTAGAGTTTTCCGTTGATATAAGGGAATGTGGAATGGGAAGAATGCTTAGTGAAAGAATATCATCACTTCACAAATTTGGTTCTGGCTATTTTCTCGATTCTGTTGTAGTTGAAATTTACCCAATTTCATGCAATAGTACATCTTGCATGATAATAAAGAAGATTGATACACAGCCACAACAATCCAATCAGTCCATTAAGATTTCAGCAGTTCATGAGAAAAACAAAGGAATTAAAGGACAAGTCAGTGGAACTGGAATCCAAGTGGGAGGTAGTTATAACACAAAGAATGCACTTATTATCGAAAAAAAGGTATATGTGTGGGAGATGAAACTCGATGGATGTTGGACAACTGGAGATCGCTGGTCATACACTCATGAAGGTGATGGCTATACAAGTACCTTTATTCAAGACAATCATACTGGCAAATGGGAAATTTTAAACACAGTGAATGGGTTTACTATAGAAATTACACAGGTAGTAGATTTTGAATTTACCTATAAGGGTTGGGTCATGAAAAAACCTAAGTTGATATAGCAATGCCCTAAAATGGCACATCAGTCAGGGATTTTGCCAAAAATAGACAGTGTAGATCGCACCATGTATGGTATAGAAATGTTAATCACATGATTCTAGATCATTTGGTTGCACGAAAATCACGTGCGATTGACCAATCAAATTTAACCACAACAATATTTACTTATTAATTAAAAGAAGTTAGCTTCCATTTACCTTTTTTATAATGGAATATTTTGAGGGATCAAGTGGGATCATTTAAAGTAGATATCTAATATTAGCTATTAGTATATCGTTTAATATCTAATAAATAAATAAAATATCAAATGATTCCTCGATGATAAAAATGTTACACAGCCAATCAAATTCACAGAATGACACAGAGATCATTCTAGAATGTGATTTCCTAATTTAGCAAAATCCCTGACTGCACATATATAAAAATATCCTTTAATAAGAAGCATGATAGAAAGCTGTTTTGATTGGCTAATGTGATACAATTGAATGTAGATTGTTACACAAATTATTTATATTAGTTTTAAAGTACTTACTATATGAAAGCGTAATCGCTCATATGACAAGTGGCTGAGTATGCCACCTACGATTAAAAAATTTTCAGAATACTTTAGTCTTTCGCTTTACTAGTAGTTGGCAGATTTAATTAGATATAATCAGATTCCCCGAGAACTTTTGCTAATGCTGCATATTTACTAATAACTAAATAGTAAATAGTTAAGTAGGCCTGTAAGACTTTTTTTTAAAGTTTTTTTTGGGGGTTTTTCCAAAGTGTTATTCTTACAGCTAATATACTTGTATTTAAGATCTAGGGATCTAGGAAATTATTCGAATATCTAGGCCTGAATTAAGAGTTATTCCTCAACCAATAATCTTGGAACTCAATATAACTCAAGCATTATTATGCTAGCAGAACTCTGCCAACAATTGAAAGGTTGATTGCTAGTAGTGCTTATATGTTGGACCAATTTACCTACATGTATCACAGGTCAATTTGGTACAGATATTAGGTATATACATAAAACAAATCAAAAAGAGGCAAAAGGTAAAAATAGAATTAAGGTAGAACAATAGAAAGACAATCAGAATTAATATCATCTGATAATATTAAGGAAGAATGAAATAATAAGATAGGGAATAATGCAATTTTTAGAGCACAGAAATGTTACAATAGCAACATTAGTAATGTGCCGTATATAGTACAGTACGCAAAAAAAATTTTAGAATATTTTAGAACAAATTATAAATCCATTCATATCTCAAAAGTTTCCTTATGAAACCGCCTTTTGTATTCTAAGTAAGATTACTCCTTGCAAAATTTTGCATATAGATAGATTATATATCATATGCGTACTATACATATTGCACATGCTATATACACTATACGCACTATACATACTATACATACTGTACGTATTATACGCTAAAATTTTCCAGGTATCATATAAATGGCACATCACTAAGCAACATACTCTTCTTCTTAATATTTGAGCTCCTGTGAAAAATCCCAAGACACAAATGCAAGTCTCAAGGTTCTATCTATTGTAAGGTCAGAAAAACGTGACCTAATAATCGCTGCGCCAACTCACGTTACCCGGTTGTGACGATCTCTTGCCCTAAAAGGAGTTGC